TGAACGGATCGCGCGATCGTTCTATCTTCTCTTCGCCTCATATTGATGTCAAGGACAGTTAATGTGTTGTTGGCTTCGGATTCCATTGTGAAGCGAATATTTGGATGTAATGTAGTTCATCCAGAATTACTGTAGCTTCTTGCAGGCTTTCTGTTATTAGAAGGGTGTCGTCGGCATATCGTTTGTAAAGTACGGTACGTTCTAGAATATTCTTTGTCTTGTGTTCGAGATGTGTCATAAACAACTCTGCCAGAACTGGGCGTAGCGGGCTTCCCATCAATATGCCTGTACGCATTTCCTTGAAATGTGAAAGACATTGATTATGCAGAGTAGTAATAAACACTCAAGGATTGACACTGGTAGTCTCACTCGGATCTCCTCATTCTCTAAATGATTGCAAATGATTTTTATGACTTCACGAAATGGTTCATTAGTAAATAAGGAATGGATATCGAATGACTGTGTTTTCCTTCGACGTTTATCTTGTCCAAAACGTCGATTTATTCAAACTGTCCTTGACGGTATGTTTCATCATTAATCTGAGGACTGGTTCTAACACCTTGACCACTCCTTTGACCATTTTTGTGCTGTGGTGAGTTCGTCATGGACAGGATTGACCTGAGTGGTACGCCTGGCTTGTGGAGTTTTGGCAGGTTATAAAGTTGTGGAACGTTAATTCCTCTAGACTTCAGAGCTTGTGTGGTGTTTCCATCAATGAAATATCCCTCCAATAAGAACTGAACTTCAGAGGCGATTTTTCGCTCCAGCTCTATTGAGTCATCATATGTATTTTCTCGTAGGACTTTTCCTTTAATTCCTGTAAAGCAGATACCAATGAGTAACATGCTGCATCGCGGTTCCTGGAATTTACCCACTTTTTCGAATTCCCGAGACACAGCAGAAGATTGACTGTATCTAGATCGCATTCCATGAATCAGCTTTACGTAGGACATCGTACAGCCGGTTAATCAGAAAAGCCGAAGGGTGTCTGGCAAGGAAACAACCATAATACTGTTGTTTTGTAACGGTTTCAATTTACACCATAAGAAACCGGGCTGCACCCGAAGCGCGATTTAACTTTATGTTGATCGAAAAGATCCTTTCTCCCTCTCGTTACGTTGTGTCTGTTGTGTCTACTCCCTAGATAGCTTATCTTGTAGTAGTTGGGAGAAATGAAGAAACAGGACAGGATTCAAGCTGCACCTTCACGGTCAGTGAATGACCAAAGCGTGGTATACGGTAAGCAGATAGTAGGAAATGAATGAAAAATGAAAAAAAAACTATCGTCTGAATTATTATATACATGCGAGAATCGATTTGCGCTTGCTTGTGGGTTGCTTAATGACAAAGACAGAGAACAAGTTCTTATTTATCGATATTAACCTTACTTTGGCTCCAAAATCAGGCGAGGCCGAAGACCAGATAGCGCCGATGGACGAAGCGGCCAAATAGCACACCACAGCCTCGATACAATTCGGGAGCAAACCTGTACGAATGGCATTTAAAAGCAAACAGATGATATGGCGACATCGGGTACGTGGGACAAACACGATGATGAACAGTTGTGGTGACAAACAAATAGAAGAGTTGTTGTTGGTGTGTTCTCCGAGCTGGAAGTGTTGTTCGTAGGAGTTTCCTAGCCAGGCTAGGCAACATTGTCAGTGCAGCTTCGGTGAAGTTGCACACAAACCCCGAGCTACAATCGTTTCACATTATTTCCAAATAGAAGAGAGACTTTTAAAAGTGGTTGAGTGCAGAAAAGGGAAAAAACAGGCTAAACACAACACCCGAAACTAGTGCATACACATTCCAGAAAATGTCACAAGTATCTAAGCCACAAATTTTAGGAATGTGTGCTTCTGGACAGTTCCTGAGATGAAATAAGTTTTTCGACTTTGATAAGTAGATAGGCGTTTTTAATCGTAGATTAGTGCAATGGTCATCATGAAACTTAATTTGAGACGTATAAAAGATTATCGGAGCCAACTCAGAGGGCGACTCATACGATAGCTGTTGGAAATAGACCCCTGTTATTTCGCTAAAAACACCGGCCGTCTAGGTTGTGAGCTAAACAGTTCTGATGATCGAAACTAGGTGACATGTGTATCGGAATCCCACCCCGGACCTCATAATGACCACATCGTAAGTCGACCGTCGAAGCTCTGCTCGAAAGCTCGAATAACAGTCAACGGGGTGGACGGAAAGTAGACTTTAAAATAACAAACGCCTTCGATCGAAGAGTACACAAAAATAAGCCACATAAATGAATCTTATTTTGATGGACCTCACCCATTTATTTAAGACAAACAAACAATTTCCGACCGGGTGAACCAGTCCTGATAAAATTCGATCATATAATCACAAGAACAAACGAAGCAACTATTCATATGGTGAATTTCGTCGCTTGAAAAGCAAGTGAAACGTGAACAGCAAAACTAGGAAGCGTGTAAAATAAAATATCCTTCATGAAAATGCGTTTATATGTCACAAATCTGTTTAAGAACAGATGAAGTGTCCTGTTTCAGTGTTTACTTGCCATGCAGAAGGTACACCACATTCGGGGATACTGACGCCAGTCATTCATCATCATCTACAGTTGGTAAAGTGATATTCACTTGTTTACGTCTAAATGATCAAAGGGGTTATTTTTGCGTCTTTTTTCCCAATAAAAAACGCGGACTTTCTAGCCCCTTCACGCATTCACACGAACACAATGTATATCGGAAGTGTGGCGGAAAATATGTGAAGTTCAGTTCATTGTGTTTTGTTGTATGTTGCTATTGACGATATC